CCTATGGAGTATTTCAGCCACAAAGTGCCTCCCATCAACTCGCTTGATGATGCAAGGAAGAAGGAGCTGCTCGCATTCGTGATGGCTCTCAAACGCTGGCGGCACTTCCTCCTTGGGTGTCGTAGGTTCACATGGATCACAGACAACAATCCATTGACCTACTACAAGACGCAGGACACGGTGAGCAGCACGATCGGACGATGGATGTACTTCATCGATCAATTTGACTTCACACCAAAGCATGTCCCCGGCCTCTCCAATCGCGCAGCAGATGCACTCTCGCGAAGACCTGATCTTTGCGCTATGACACATCATACCTTCGCATTCGACGAGGAGCTTCAGCGACACTTCATCCGGGCATATCAGTCTGATCCGGACTTCGGCATGCTCTATGCACAACTATCTTCGGATCACCCGCCGGCCAGCCATTACCGCATTGCCGAYGGGTACTTGCTCCTCCACTCGAGAGGCAAGGACTTACTATGTGTCCCACGCGACCGTCGTCTTCGGACTCGCCTCCTCGGCGAGTACCATGATTCACGACTCGCCGGCCATTTCGGAGTCAACCGCACTATTGCACGACTTCGACAGCGATTCCGATGGCCCGACCTCATTACCGATGTCACTCGGTATTGCGACTCTTGCGAAATTTGCCGACGCAGCAAGCCCCGCAAGCGCAATCCCTACGACGAGTTACACCCGATGCCTATCCCACGGGAACCCGGTCTCTCCATTGCCATGGTCGTCACCGGTCCGTTTCCTCGCGACCGGCTCGGGCACGACGGCATCCTCACGGTTGTGGACCGATTGAGTAAGTACGCGCGTTTTCTCCCTTGCAAGTACTACTCCACGGCTCCCGAGCTGGCACGGCTCCTGCACACTGGTTGGATTTGTGGCCACGGTGTACCAGAAGACATTGTCAGCGACCGCGATACTCGTTTCATGTCGGCGTTTTGGACTGCTCTCATGCAGGAGTCCGGCACAACAATGAAACCAAGTTCGGCTCGACACCCTCGGACAGACGGGCAGACGGAGCGGGCACATCAGACCGCTCAAATGATGCTTCGTACGCTCATCCGTCCGGACCAGAAAGATTGGGTTGACCGCCTCCCCGACATCGAGTTCGCCTACAACACTTCGGTGCATCCGGCGATCGGCGTGACTCCATTCGAGTTGCACCACGGTGGACGGAAAAGCCGGATCTTCGCCGACCTTCTCCTCCCTCGACCAGCCGACATTGACGCTGCCTGCTCTCCCTCTTCCGTCCGGAAGTACAGGGAATTGCTGACTCAAGCCCGCGCAAATATGCAAAAGGCTCAAGTCCGCATGCAGCAGCAAGCCAACAGGCGTCGCGTACCATGTCCCATCCGCGCCGGTGATCTAGTTTGGGTCTCCGCGGAAGAGTTTGCACTGGAACAGGATGTTTTACGCAAACTGCTTCCCAAGTGGTTTGGACCTTGGTCTGTGACAGCAGCCGCGGGCGATGAGCCC